ATACATGGTGATCATATCCCCCTTATGTATTATACATGGAGATCATATCCCCCCTTATGTATTATACATGGTGATCATATCCCCCTTATGTATTATACATGGAGATCATATCCCCCCTTATGTATTATACATGGTGATCATATCCCCCCCTTTTTTTTATACATGGTGATCATATCCTCCCCCTTATGTATTATACATGGAGATCATATCCCCCCTTATGTATTATACATGGAGATCATATCCCCCCCCTTATGTATTATACATGGTGATCATATCCCCCCTATGTATTATACATGGAGATCATATCCCCCCTTATGTATTATACATGGGGATCATATCCCCCCTTTTTTTTGTTATACATGGAGATCATTTCCCCCCTTAATCTCCTCTTCTCCAGAGAGAATAAATTCAGTTCCTCTAATATTTCCTCATAGCTGATCTCCCCCATGCCTCTTATCAGTTTGGTTGCCCTTCTCTGCACTATCTCCAGTACTCCAACATTTTTGTGCTCTAGAATTAGAACAGAAGCTGCCATTGCTGACTTCCTACTGGAAAAAGCTAGTTAGCTGGCTGTTATGCTGACTTACAGACTTCATAACTACCTAAGTCACTGACCTGGAACATGTATGCTTTGTAAGTTGGAGAACCCTCAAAAGTCCTCATTTGTGTACTTGATCCAAGTCAGTAACTTAATGAATTTAAAGGTGAACTTGCACTACAAAATTCCAAAGAGAACAGCAAATAAGAAGCTAACAGATGTGCCAAGTCCTACCATTCCATCCTGGTCTGGAGTTCCATTAAAACTAATCTAAAGGAGAAAAAGCTAAAACTAGCCATGAACTGGTAGATTTTTGAAAGAGCATTCATACGAAAATTTGTACAAAAATTTGCTGTACATTCAATGACTTGATGAATGTCGAATGTTAAAAGTACTGCACAATTTTGTTTGCTTCTAACATTCAATTGCAGAACAAATGGACATTCTCAAATGAAAACAACTTTTGCTATTAGAAATTTGCTCACTCCAAAATTCCATTCTGCTCCTTTTAATTATCTTGTCACTGTGGTCAAAAACAAACACCAATTTGATCCCAATAATGTTTAGAAAACTGAACAAATATTCTCAAAAAGACATTTTTTTTCAGTGAACTTCTACTTACTTATGGCCAGGTTAAGGCTGCATTCACATTTGAGTGTTTTGTAGCTCACAGCTCCAAAAACGCTCAAACTTAAAAAAATCAATAGTTTTTTTATGGTGTCTGTTCGCGTGATCAAATGTGAACAGGCACCATAGAGAACAATTGATTTTTTAGGTTTGAGCTTTTTTGGAGCTTCAAGCTTCAAACTACAAAACGCTCAAGTGTGAATGAGCCTTAGAGTAGTTAGGTGCATTATAAGTAACAGTATTCCACTGTTTGCACGGTATCAGTGAACTCATTATAAGTTGCACCACAGGGGATTTTTCTTTTTTGTATTTATATTTTTTTTTTTTTTTTTTTTTTTTTTTTTTTATATTTTTTTTTTTTTTTTTTTTTTTTTTTATTTAAATTTTTTTTTTTTTTTCTTATAGAGAAACATATTCTATTGATACATTCCACTTCCTTGTAAAACATTTGCTGGCTATAATCTAGAATGATCCTATTTGCACTGTACTGGTCATGGATATCCTATGAACAGGGGCGGACTGACAACTCATGGGGCCCCCGGGCAATAGGAGATCATGGGGCCCCTGTGTCCTTGCCCAAACTCAAAAAAGCCTATGAAAAAAGGTACCAGGGGCATCTCATGGGGCCCCCTTCTGACCCCAGGCCCTCGGGAAGTGCCCGAGTTTCCAAATGGTCAGTCCGCCCCTACCTATGAACAGTTTTTTTTTTTCATACACCTAGCCTAAGGTGGCCATACCCTTTGTGCAGATTATGTAGCTGTACAAGAGCCCCTGGGACTTGAGGAGGCATATATACTAGATGTTGGTCCAACAGGCCTCCTGTTTTCATATATTTAGGGGGAGCATGGTTAGTTCTTGCGCTGGGGTGCTTTGGTGACTATGTCCTCTATAGACCAAGCCTGAGTTGATGTTGCTCTCTGATGGGTTGAAGCATCTAGATACATGCTGAGATAATGCTGCATTGTCTTGTTGAGTGACAGGCTAATATTTTCATTTCATGGTCTGATTCTTGGTGTATGTTGGGGAGTAAAATAAATTGGGCACTAGTCACTTTAGTCTTTTTAACTTTTATTGCTGAACTTAATTCTAAGATAGGAGTTTTATGGGTACAGGATACCAAAAAATAGCACAGAAATAGGACAAATGTAGCCCAAAACAATGAAAATAGCACTGCTCAAATGACCCACAAATCTGTATCAGTTGGATCAGAATATGGATAAATTGGTGCAAGACAGAAAGGATCAGCTTGTCAGTCTCCAGTAGACTTCAACAAAATGGTGGCCGCCTGCAGACAGCCACCGCCTCCCTGTTACATAAATGTGAATAAAATGGCTAAAATATGGCTTCAACTCCTGCTCTCAACCTGCAGAGAACTCCTCAGACACATTTCACCCTTTTTGGGTCTTAATCGTAGAGGCCTCTATAATTAAGCACCAAAAAGGGGTGAAACATGTTTGAGGAGTTCTCTGCAGGTGGAGGACAGGAGCTTGGGATATAAAGCTGTAAACCACAGGTTGTGTGCCGGAGCTTCCCTACACCGCCCCCCGGATCACTTGGAGTCAGCATAACCTGTCAGATGTGGCTCATGTAGACAGCAAAGGAAGGAGAGAGCAGACAGAAATCACACTGGACAGAGGCAAGAACACACTATAGAAGGATATACTTTTAGTGTCAGGTTTTTACAACTACATTAAGTTACTGACACAGCTACTTTCTACTCTGTATTAGACATGACTCCATTGCAAATTTTTTTATACATCTCTGGGGATGAGAAATTAAGCTTGGGACAATTTTGGAGAAATGCAATGTAGTCAATTGGAAGTAAATTTTGCAAGTTCATCCATACTCTATACATGACCCAATGCTTTGATCCCTTACATCGTAACAGATAACTAGACAGGATCATGTTTTTAAAACTTGGAAACATGCCACAGGCCGTAAATAAAGAATCTTGTATGAAAGCTTATCCCTGTTTGCATACGCCCGGTGCAAAATGATGTCAAAATACACTTCTGTCTGCAATCTATTAACTGCTGGATATCGGCCACACAAGTGACACTCTCTACCATGTTAACCCTACAGAACTCATGATGGAAGTTACTAACATTGAAAAAGACTAGGTCAGACACCCAGCTTCCGTGAAAACCTTTGTGCCCTCCATGCACTTTATCTGTAGCTCACTGGCATAACAGAGGTCTGTACCACTTTGCCTGCTACCAGGGTGTTGCCACTTGTTACTGATGGTAAAAAGGGATGAAACTCCGACTAGGGATTCTAGTGACATGCAGCACCATCAAGTGATAAACCTGATGAAATGTAGAATTGTCCCCCTCCTGTCTCACAGTTAATTTTCACGACCTCCACCAGAATGCACAGTATGAAGCCTCCAGTTCTAGGAGCATTGCAAAGCACGTTAGCTCCAACTTTCACCTTTTAGGCATCTCAGGAGTTAATGATAGACATCTTGGACAAAATCCAGGCATCAAATGAGAAACATTTCACAGGTCAGCAGATGGCTGACTTCTCCCTGAGGCACAAATTAAAAAAAAAAAGCCATGAGAAAAAAAGACTGAAAAATGAGAGGAAGCACGGAATACAAAAATAAAACTTTTTTCCCAAAATAATATCAAAACGGACCGATTATAAGAGACATCTTTCAGTATGCGAGCTTTTCACGTACAGCTTGGCTTAATGTAAAAAAACTGGAAAATTGAGTCTGAATGATCATATTATGGTAAAATAATGGGGAGTTTCTAAGAACCAAAATCAAACTCTCTCCCTATAGTTTGTACTGGCATGTCGGTGAAAATCATAGAATCCATTTAGTAACAAGACAGATTTCTACTAAATCAGATATCATGATTTATTTTCAGCTTTTGGCCAGGTTGCTTTAAAGCTGAAATGCCAGAAAAAACTGTGCTCAAGCCTGTGCTCAAAGGAATGCACATGCATGCAGAACTGTCCATAGCACTGATCATGCATGTTTGATGGTCTCAGATTTTTTGCCATCTTCTGCCCATCTAACTATGCATCCAAGATATTGCATCTGCCTGCTGCCAGTTTGGTTGCTTCAGTTCCACTTCTGCTACCAAGATATTCTGAACCATATTTCCTACAGGCACCTGTGCCACTCTGTGTCCTGTTATACCTTGTCATCATACCCAAGGTAAACAGGACCAGAGGTGTAAGGACAGCCCTCTCGTCAACTTGGCATCAACCAGGTATGTGACAGGAACTCCAGAAATATGGTTCATTGCATACTTACTTTGGTCCAGCTTGGCCCAAAATAAGTACTTTATATGCAGACAGGTGCAGGTTTCCCCTCTGTCCTCTGTCCTGTAGGTGGCACTGTGTCATGGTAGACATGGAGTGGAATTTGTAGGGAAGTTGTCCCCTAATGGACTCTGTTAGACTCTCAGAGAGGTCAGGGGTAGAGACCCCGTTGGTGAGGGAAGGTGTGTAGCATAGGGAGAGGTTCTAAGTGAGTAGGCTTAGATCATGGACAATGCATGCCTACAGGAAACAACCCAGTATCCAGGACAGTATCTTGGGGATCTTCCCAACAGCATTGCAATGCCATTCTGATACACCACCAATCAGTACCCCCCCCCCCCCCCCAGCAGAAAGTTGTCCTCTGGTAATGGTACTACAGGTCCAAATCTGGTATAATTGTGTAATCACCAACTGCTATATTGAATTAAGTCAGTGCCTACAGAAATTATCATTATTCAATACTGCTACACTGTATGCGATTTACACTATATTGCCCAAATCATTGGTTTCAAGTGTTCTAGTCACCTCCATGGCCACATGTGTATAAAATCATCACCTAGGCATGCAGACTGCTTCTACAAACATTTGTGAAAGAATGGGTCGCTCTCAGGAGTTCAGTCAATTCAAGTGTGGTCCCGTGATAGGTTGTCACCTGTGCAATAAGTCCATCCATGTCATTTCCTGGCTACTAAATATTCCACGCTCAACTGTTAGTGGGATTATAACAAAGTGGAAGCAACTGGGAACAACAGCAACTCAGCCACAAATGACAGAGCAGGGTCAGCACACGCTGAAGCGCACAGTGCATAGAAGTTGCCAATGGTCTGCAGAGTCAATAGCTAAAGACCTCCAAACTTGGTGTGGCCTTCAGATTAGCACAACAACAGGGCGTAGAGAGCTTCATGGAATGGGTTTCCATGGCCGAGCAGCTGCATCCAAGGCTTGCATTACCAAGTGCAATGCAAAGCATTGGATGGAGTGGTGTAAAGCACGCCGCAACTGGACTCTAGAGCAGTGGAGACATGTTCTCTGGAGTAATGAATCATGGTTCTCTGTCTGGCAATACGATGGACGTGTCTGGGTTTGGCGGTTGCCAGGAGAACAGTGTTTACCTGACTACATTGTGCCAAGTGTAAAGTTTGGTGGAGGGGGGATTATGGTGTGGAGTTGTTTTTCAGGGGTTGGGCTTGGCCCCTTAGTTCCAGTGAAGGGAACTGTAAAGGCATCAGCATACCAAGACATTTTGGACATAAAATCAGATATTCATCCATTTTGCAGGCTTGGCTACTGTTAGTGGCCAAGTTGTTCCGGTGAGTTGGCATTTCAGCTGATCACACGGTGGAGCACTTATCGGTTGTTGTGGGTCCTTTTTTGTGGAAAAGAACCAGTCACTTATGTTGATATGTATACAAGGAAATTTGGTGATAGGAGACTTATTTTTACACTTTTGTTTGATGGATAATTTGTACTGGATAAGTAATTATTAATGTATATATGTTTATACATTCATGTTCATTTAATAGTTGGTGTGTATATTTAAATGGGCAGAGCCTTCCTTTTTATGTATATTAATTTGTAGAATAAGTGCGGGTTACACTTGTAAAGGGGCAGCTGCTTTTGTTTACACTGAACAAATTGTCATTGATATGAGGATTTGATATACTTTTTTTTGTATTGGCACTTACTTTATTTTGTAATAAAACACAAAATGCTCGAATCTGGAGAGGATCCTCTGACTTTTATTGTTTACAAATCAGCAGCATACACTAATAATATAGACTGTTGACGAGTTTCAGCTTTGCAGACTAAATTATGGCTTAAAGTATTACTAAACCCACAGCAGTAAAATCAGTCTGTATATGCAGTAAAGCATGCTTGTTATACTCACTGTGGAACCTACGGGGTTAATCCTCTGCATTGTGTAAAAAGGCCATTTGATCCTGACTTCTCTGCCCCTCCTCTTTTTCTGGTGTCCACCTTATAAAACAGATGAACCCATAGCCATTCTGCACATGCTCAGTTTGGTGTGTATTATTTTTTTTTTTTCTTGGGAGAGTGCATGTGATCAGCACAATGCCAATCAGCACTGTCCAGACAGAGGTCAGGGGTTCTGCATCCCCCTACAGCAGAAAGAAAACTCCTCCTACAAGCTGTAACCAGTGCTCAGTTGGAGTCACAAGACGGCTCTATACTGCTGAGATGGAAACGTATTTAGCAGTTTATATTTCCTACAATAATGACCCTTCCATGTGGTGTGTCCTGTGAGAGACCAGACAGAGGGAATGCTGGCTCCGGGGTTTAGGAACACTTTAAGATTTAAGAAGAATTCCAGGTACCTTTGCATAGGTAAATTGTTTCAGCTTGGACCAATGTAACTTTATATGTGCCAGTACTGGCTGATCTGATTGACCAAGGTAAAGATAGTAAAATCACTGCCCCGCCTCTCATTCTCATCCAATAAGAGAGTTATTGCAGCACAGTGGCTAAATGGTTAGCACTTTTCACCTGGCAGTACTCGGGTCGTTGGTTTGAATCCCAATCATGGCACCAACCAGAGGCGGACTGACCATTTGGAAACTCGGACACTGCCCGAGGGCCCGGGGTCAGTAGGGGGCCCCATAATATGCCCTGGTACCTTTTTCATAGGCTTTTTTGAGTCTGGGAAGGACACAGGGGCCCCATGATCCCCTATTGCCTGGGGGCCCCATGAGTTGTCAGTCCGCCCCTGGCACCAACTTCCTGGAGTTTGCATGTTCTCTCTACACCTGCGTGGGTTTTCTTCGAGTGCTCTGGTTTCCTCCCACACTCCAAAAGACATACTGGTAGGTTAATTGGCTCCTGTCTAAATTGTCCCTAGTATGTGTATGTATGAATGTGAGTTAGGGACCTTAGATTGTACGCCCCTTGAGGGTTATGGACTGATGTGAATGTACAATATATATGTAAAGTGCTGCATTAATTGATATAAGTACCTGTAATAAATAAAATAATAAATACATTTGCATTCATTGAAAATTTGCAATGTGTTCTCTACATGGCACCTGTGCCAAGTGTATGATCTTTTGTGTTCACCAATGTTACCCAACTCCAGCAGCAATCACTGTAGTATCATTATCTTCCACTCGAAGGCATGTAACTATGGTAAAATAACCTTTAACCCCCCTGGCGGTATTCCTGAGTGTAGCTCGGGGTAAAGTTTCAGCACCACAAGCGGCAACCCTGAGCTACACTCGGGAATACCCTGCAGCGTTGCTCCGGGATCTCTTCCGCACATAGCTTGTCCCTGCACTCCCGCAATGTCCCTCCTGCAGTGTCCCCGGCAATGTCCTCCGGCCGATGCCGGCATCTGTCTTCAGGGTTCTGTTCCCTGCGAGCGTCGGTATGTACGTGGGACGGAACCGGCGGGAAATTTAAAAATGTGAAAAAGTGACATTCACTCAATACACTAAAATCACATAGTATAACATTACTGTATCAAACCATTTCACATACATTTTGTCCCGAGTGCTTTGTCCGGCGCCCTGCCTGCATTTTTACTGTTCTTTCTGCCTGGATACTGAGAAACGTCCATGGCGTCCAAAAAGCGTCCCTTTAGGTCAAAAGCGGTTTTAGACCGGCTAGAGAACAGCGATAGTAAATCAGAACCACTTGCAGAATTGAGTGATAATGATTCGTGGGGGAAATTCATCATCAGACACTGAAAACAATTTTGCAACTTTGCTCAGTGATGTGCAAACTTGGTGCTATATTTCAAATTTCAGTGTTTTTGGTTTGATTATATTATTGAATTAAATGTATTATTATTATATTATTATTTTTTATGATTATTTATTAAATTATAATTTATGATTTCGTGTTTCAAATTTTAACATACCCGGGATGTTTACTAGACTCTTGTTCGGACAGATTTCAGTGAGTTATTCCTAAAAATTACAGGCCTATAATAAAAAAAAAAATACATATCTCCATGCAAAAAAATGTACCGCTTTGAGCACATAAATATGGACATAATCAGACCGCTAGGGAGGCTACAGCTGCAAAGTCAAAATATGTTAGCCCTCTTGGTATTAGTGTATGCTGATTTTTTAAAAACAAAATAGTTGAAGGACATTGTAGCCAGGCATTTTTGTTTTTTTTGGATTGGATTGTGGGTGGACAAGAACCCATCTGCAGAGCTGGCACTCCAAGGGCAGCACAAGCAAAGGGGTAGAGTTCTCCTTCTCTGTTTTGTCCATTGACTCAAGTTCAAAGCTCATTAACACAGGCCCTTAGTGTGAGCCCAGGCTGTAATGGACTCATCACCAACCGTGTGTCATCATGCAGCTGTGCCCATAGGAGAATGCTATACAGAATGATGCTCAGACATCACAACCATTTTCTTCAGCACCCAGGAACACCTATTTCCAACACTGGAGAACAATAAAAGGCTCCTACTTATCACCAGGAATTAAGGTATGTATGAAGGACATTTTTTAAAGTCTGGTGTAACGTAACCGGACCCAGACCTCACTTGGGTATTTTCCATTATACTCCAGCTTTCCTATCTGAACACAAATCCCCGGACACCACCCGCTGATCATGCAGGAAATAGACAGCACCAGACTCTTCTTAAGACAGGAAGTCAACTCTTTTATTTTTACACAAAACACAATATATATACACAGGGCAGGGAAACACAACCAGGAACAGGAAACACATCATCAGCCCGCCCCATCAATAGGAAGGGCTACAGGAAACAAATCATCAGCCCGCCCCATCCCTGGGAAGGGCTACAGGAAACACCCTCCCCCCAACCCAACCAAGATACAGAACAATGGGATGTAGCACATGGCAGATAACAATGGACAACCACATGCAGTGAACAAAGGACAATCCCCACACCAATACACAATATACATTCCCATGCACACCCTGTACCCCTTAACAGGCACAGGCTGAGTTAAACATAAGAATTTGGGAAGATGATACAGGGGTCCCCCCACCCCCAAAAGTCACTCTCGTCACATCTGGGAAGAGAGTTGGGCTTAAAGTAGCAGGCATTGTTGCAAAATGTTCAGGCTCTATTCACACTAGTGCAATTTCAGATGCGATTTGAGTCGCACAAAAGTGCATTACAATGAACATCACATTGTTTTCAATGGTGCTCATTCTCATCAATGCAACTCAGCAAGGTGTGGTTTTGGAAAAGGGTCCTGTGCTACTGTGGTGCGATTCCAGTGTGATTTTGGCACATAGAATATATATACCTTATCCAAGTTGCGTCAAAGTTACATCCAAGTTTCACTATATCATTGCACTCAAAACCAGATCCTCACTGGTTAAATAGTTTCACTTTTGTATGTTCGTTTTTTTCGATTGGGAATCCCTTGAACAGTAATTATTTTCATAAACAGCATTGTAGGTTTTCTAGAACTGAAGGTAAAACTTTTTTTTTCATATTAGATAGAGTAATGGGGAGTTATAACCTTTGTCAGATATATATTTTTTTGTCATCTGCATCTTATTGGGGAGATTTTTCTTCAATTCCTGCCGCATAGCCACATCAAAAATAGAGAGAAAATCCCCCAAACCCTCCAAAGTGTTACTGAGGTCACCAAAACGAGTGTCCCCATTGGAAGATTTCCTCTCAATTCCTGTTCTTGTGACCGCTTGGAATTTTCTATCACTTTTAGTGATAATAGTCACCAGGTCAAACAGAGAGGGTGAGTCTTCCTAACAGAGATGAAAACCAGGCAGGTGTTCCAATCCCTCTCCACTTTATACTTTAAATTGTGTTTTTTCTTTGTGGTCAAGTTAGATATCTTAGCATAACTCCTAATGTCTTGCTGATCATGTAATGAATGTGTACGGTGGGTGAACATTCATGAAGGTCAATCTTTCTGTACTGAAAGCACAGCAACTGAGCTGTCACAGACAACTGCCAGTCTCTGTTTATGATAAGCAACCCACAAGATGAACTCCTAATCAAGTGACCAATGTGACAGCCTGCCTCCCAGAATTAAAAGCCACTTAAAGGAACACCTAGAGCAGGGGTGTCAAACTGGTGGCCCTCCAGCTGTTGTGAAACTACAAGTCCCATCATGCCTCTGACTTTGGGAGTCATGCTTGTAACTGTCAATCTTGCAATGCCTCATGAGAGACTTGTAGTTTGGCAACAGCCAGAGGGCCACCAGTTTGACACCCATGGCCTGGTGAGCTGGAAGGGTTTAAAGACCATACTTTTACCATGGAGTACCTTTTGTCAGGAA